TTTTAGTGTTATCACTTACCTTTATCCAATAATGTAGAGTTTTCCTTTAAATCGATAAGTGTTTGTAAAAAGTCGTTGCGCTTGTAGCAATGCTTGGTTCTGTACTCCACAGTTTCTTTCACCAAATTATAGAAAAAGCTAATTGTATCCGGGTTAATTCGATTTATCTTTAATTTTTCAAAGAAGTTGGGAATAAGAAAGGCTAAAGCTCTTACAACTGTCCTAAAACAATAAAAATTAAAGGTAATATAAATATTTAACTTTTAAAAGAAATATTAACATTATTTTATATATTTATCAATTATTTACATATTTCCTGTAGATTATTAAAAGATGTAATAAATTTTTTCTTTTAGATTTCAATATTCGTTTTCGATCCGATTTATAATTAAATAACAATTTTAATAACTTAGTCTATTATATTTTCATGTTATTTATACTGAAATAAGCGTAACGCCTGTAAAATAATATATAAACTTGTTTCAGGTATTTAGCAATGCTCTCTAAAGCTCATTATATATTTTTTTCATGAAGTTTAAAAAATGTTGATATATGAACTATTTCCTTACTTCCTATAAAGCAATCGCTAATCCAAATTTCAAAAATTTAATTCGAAGATAGCTTTTTAAAGATGTGTTATTTTATAAGACAAACAATATATCTATACAGATAAATAAATTTGAAGTGTCCGTTTGTTATATAAAAACTAACAGCTTTTTACTAAATGCATATGAAATTGTATATGGTACTTATAAGAAAAACACAATTTAAAAAAATGTTGTCTGTCTATCTGTTTGTTTCGGCTAATCTCCGAAACGTCTAGACTGATTTTGACATTCACTGGCAGATATTTCACATTACTTATTAATTTTATTTTAGAAAAAGGATTATTGTCCCGCTCAAATAATTAAAACGTACCTAGAGAGTAGAGACGCACCCGAGCGAATCGAGTGTAAATCAGTAGTACCATAATATAATCATGAAATAAACAAATTAACAAATAAAATAGTTTAAGTTCTTTTGTGCAATTTTTAAACATATTCGAAATTTTATTTCAAAAGCTTAAGATTACGCATATATATATATATATATATATATATATATATATATATATAATTAAAAAGATTACAATTTTTAATAGGTTTCATGAAGTAATTTTATAATTTATTTTAATTTTAAGCATATTCAAACTATTTACAAAAACAGAAAAACGTACCAATAAAGTGATGATGGCTCGAAATAGTCATGTCCACGCAAATAAAATTCGGACTGAGAATTTTGGAATCCATTGCATTCTAAGCCAAAGCCAACACTTCCTATAATTTCCATAGTGTATTTTTCGTAAAACTCCGTCATATTTAACACTTCTTTATTTAATTGGTGATGGTCAGCATAAAGTAAGGATTCTTTCGCAATTTTATCGGCCAAAGGGTACATACTTTTGAGCTTAGAAGCAGAGAAAACAGAAGTCATTTTATTTCTCAGCGATTTCCAAGCATAACCGTGTTTGTTGAACAGATGGCCAGCCAAAGGATCGCCCGCTCCTCCAGAAAATATTCCATGGGATTGGAAATGATCGAAATCATTTATCAAAACATGCTTTGCCAAATCCAAATCGTTTATACTTAGCACTGGTTGATTAAAACAATACAGACCCACGTATGGTAAGTGTTTGTATTTATAGTAATTCCTGCAATATGGCTCGAAAAATTGTTCTTTCCGTTTTATCACATTTTGAATGTTGCCAAATGGGAATGTAGGTTTTGGTGCGAAAACACCTTTTCTTGCCCAGTACTTGAACTTGTATTGAAACCATATATAAATGAAAATAAAACTAATAGCTATTAAAATTAGAGTTTCCCCCGAAAAAAAATTTAGATTCAAAATTGCCATTTTCACTGGTTTTTATGTATCGTTATCGACGCTAAGAAAAATAAAAACAATTTTTCACAAATTTTTTGATACTCAAAGTAGTTTTTTTGTACTTTCAATATTATTTGGAATAATATTTATTAAATAGGTAATACTTTTGTTACGAAAATGAACGAATTAAGCTATGACCACTCACGCAATCAGGTCCGAGTGTTCCGAGTGGCGGCTTAGATCGTCTGTTAACGATAAAACAAGCTAAGGCTACTCTTTTATACCATTGTATAAAAAAACATCAAATTAATAATGACGTAGTATAATAATTACGGTAAAATAAAAAATAGGCCATAAAACTTTAATACATAACGTGCCTAAAATATATAGGTACAGCTTGTAAAAATAATTTGTATTATAAAAGGTATAATTGTTTTATAATGACTAAGTATTTATGATTAACAATAAAGCAAAGCTTCTATATAATAATATTCATTAATAATAAGATTTTAATATCGTAGATCTATAATACAAATTTTTCATATTATAAACTTTCACCCATAGATTACGTATGTATAGTAAATGAAAACTACCAATTAGTTATTTTTTACTTTTTAGTGTTTTTTTTGAAGTCGGTTTTATTTTTTTGTTAAAAAGTTTTTCTTGAATTCTAATCTTAGAGTATACATAAGCTAGTATACTCTAAGATTCTAATCAACAAAAAAAAACAATCAGCTGCGTTAGTAGTGATGGACTATATCCATAAACGTACGTTATTTGCTTGTTTATTTAATTTACAAGTTTTTATACAGATTTATTTTTACATCTGTATAAAAACTTAATTTCAAGTGGATACTAGCCTACTAGGTAATTAAAAATTTATTAAAATATGAACGTTACACATAATATAATTAAAGTAATAAAAACAACAATTAAAATGGAAGTAATATTATTAGATAATAAGATAGATTAGAGTCACGAAAAAACTTCCAAAAAAAAAATGTCAAAAGTTTTATGAAACTTTCGAACACTTCGGACTAATTAATTAAAAGAATACAAGAGAACACAAAAAGAATACAAACTTTAAAAAAATATCTCTTTAAGAATGAGTATACAAAAGTTATGAAAGCATTCAATACGTATTTCTAGTACAATCCAATGATACAAAAAAATTTTAAACGTGTATCTCAGACTAGAATTTTTAGAACTAAACGTACTCAACTAAACAAATGTAATAATTTTAATAGTATCTAAATTATATTGATGCGCTTAACAATGTAATATTTATATAATTTCAATTAAACATCATTAATATTATTACGCCTACCTAAATAAAAAGGCAAAGTATTATATCTGAGTAATTTTAATTAATTAATTTAAATGCTTGTACAGAATAAAAAATAGGACGAATGCTAGTCTGACTCGCACACCGAGGGCACTATAGACACACATTATTAATTCTATAGCATGCAACAGTAAGTTTATAACCGCAAAAAAAATTTGTAATGTAACTAACTAGAAAATTATGGATCTCAGATTTTTCCCTTTACTTGTGCTATAACTTATAAGACATTGTTTCTTGCTTAATTTCATGATTCTAGGTCAATGGGAAATACCATATAGGTTTTATTTTCCTTGTGAGTTTGAAAATATGCGGCATAAATGGCCGTATCTTTTGATTGCGTCGACTTTGAATTTCATGTGTTCCCGAGAAAAAGGGTCTTGACGGACAACTAAATGAGTCTATAAGGGTTCCTTTTTTCCTTTTGAGGTACGGAACTAAAAATATAACTAGTTTTAGACATGACTCCTCTTGCGTGGTTGGCACGTCGATACACTAAGGGACAAGTTTATTAATAGTGCATAACAAGAATAAAGACGTTTTATTTCGTTACTCGTGCTATGAAAAAATGATGTCAAATATTATCAATAGTAGAAAGCTCCATTCCGATTTCGAGGGTTAATCGTTAGTTCATAATATGTATTGATAAATTATTTCATTGACCAAATAGTGGGTGGCAACGGAAAGAGACAATATACTCAAAAACCTAGAAATGAGTAACAGTTAAATAAAATTATTTTAATTATAAGAAGAAGCATTTCAAATAACCTTCTTTATTTTATATCTACACTTTAAAACATTGCTAATATATCAGTGAAGGTCTTATTTAATTGTCGCGAAATAAATAAAAGGTAGGCCGGTAAAAGCAAATATGTACCTAATATAATTCTAACGATTTGTTTAGGTATGCATCACATGAGTTTTTTTTGTCTGTGTGAGCTTCTTTACATACACATACATACATAGACATTACGTAGAAACACCGATCGTTGTATCATTCATTGGAGATAATTATTAGCATTAAGTGGTGGGCAAGAGTGAAGTTACGCTTATCGATTTTTAAATGAGTTTACATGAAAATCTATCAGAAAGTATCGAACTCTACATTTGTTTAGTTTTATGTTTCATTTATTAATGAAACATATAAATATAAACGATACTAGTGTACGTTAATTTTAAATAAATTAGCACTAGAACTAGCACTCGGCTCCTTTAACACCATTCACCCAAAGATATACTGGGATGATAGAAATGAAGAAGTCTAGTAATACCACGGAAGATAAAATGTTTCTCTTCCGTGTGTAATACAATAGTTGAAGAACATGTCTGGCCATTTGAAATTTATGTAGCCATACTATACCACAGGTTATATATCATAGACTTCGATATTTCTATTGTCGCTTTCCAGAATAGCTAATTAATTTAAAATTTTTATATATTCTTAAAAAAACGTAAAAAGTTAAGTAATAGTGGGAAACTAATAATGGTAAATTGTGTTTATTAAGATAATTAAGCCGTTACTGTGAGTGTACCACGAGTGTACACGAAATTTTCTCTTCTGCAGTACCTACAGAAAATGTACTTTAAACGAGACTTGTACGTATCTATAAAACAGCTAAAGAGCAAGTGACAAGTTATTATTTTGAATTCCAAAAACGAAACATTTATCGATAATTTATCGATTTGGTGCATGCCCATGCCTGTTACCCTTTAACACGCGTAAGTGACAGTGAAATTGTTTCTATAGCATGCTTTGTCCAGTAATGTTATATGTTTAAGTAAATATTATTTTATAATGAGAGAGTTAGTTAAATTATTAAATCTAAGTTTGTTTTGTCTAAGTTTAAGTAAAATTGAATGTCTATCTAAGTTTAGATTAGATTCGAAGTATGGGAATGTGAGATGGACACTACAAAACAAAAACAAATGTGAGTTGGTATCGTTAAATTTATTAAATTATTTACCACAATTCGTAGTAAAATAGTTCCTTGTTTGTGATCCACAAATAAGGAATTTTATTCTCCATTCTACATGACATTGGTGAAGTAATTTGTTACAATAACAACTGGCTCGTTGTGAAGCTATTAACGAGAGAATTAAATGCAAACAAGGAAATTTTTTAAAGCAACTACCTACTTTAATGTTGATGTTTTAATTTTAAGACATTCTTATAATGTTAGGTTAAATGTACCTATTATTTATGGTTCTTGTATTTTTGTGATCAAAAAAGTTGTTTGCATGAATATATTATATATATATATATTATATTTTTTTACATAGTAATTATATATAGACGTCGCTTAAGTCTTTATAAACAATATTTTTCCAGCTATATGGGTACCAGGTTCAGTGCCGGGCGGTGTATACACGGACCTACGCAATGCGGGTATTATTGGCGACATCCTATCTGGCTTCAATGACGTTCTTTGTAGATGGGTAGCTTATGATACTTGGACTTATAATGGCAAATTTAACGGTAAAAATTATTTATTCTCTGATAAAATCACTCTGAAAGTGTGTGAGTTTTTCAATGAATGCATGTATTTGTTACTTTTCATACTGCGTGTACCGGCTCATTGAATTTAAACGAAATTCAGATTGGTTATGGTTTATATGGTTATAAGTATTATTCATCGACGTATCCACCACGCAAACAGACCCGTGGACATAACTAGTTTATAATAAAATCCATACTAATATTATAAATGTGAAAGTGTGTTTGTTTGTTTGTTTGTTTGTTTGTCTGTCCTTTCATGTCGAAACGGAGTGACGGCTTGGCGTGATTTTTTGCGTGGATATAGTTGACGGCTGGAAAGTGACATAACCTATTTTTTATCGGGAGACCATTTAATTCCCACGGGAAATCACGTTATAATACAACCCAAAAAATATTTATCATCAGAATTACTTGAAACTTGCTTTTCAATAAAATTTAATAAATACGTGTTTTAGCATTTTATGAAATTCGTCCTATAAGGGGGTAACATAGGGGATGAAAGTTTGTATGAAACTACCTTTTTAGAGCTTTTTTGTAGTTTAAGCGCGAGCGAACCCGGGGTTTTGCTAGTTTGTTATAATTTCATAGAATTTTCCGTTTGCTTCTAAATTAGTTAGGTATTTTGAATGTAAAATTTGAATTAGCAATTATTTTGCGCTACTAATCATATTTGAATTTTAATATAGCTATTAACGCATTGTAGAAATAATTAAAATTATAAATTTATTTTTAAGAGTGTGATAAGAGTAATTTGACTGACTTCAAAATAAAAGGCACTTTAGATACTTATAATATATAAATGTATTTCTGTGCATGTTCACGTGATCTCTTATTACTTATTCAACGAATGCTCTACTAACATTATTCGTTATTTACAGTTAGCACAGAAAGTTTAAGCTATCTGAATGCAATATTGGTTTTGGAAGGCGTGGATACGGTATCTTACATAGAACTAAATGGCAGTCCCATTGGAGTCACAAGCAATATGTTCGTCCGATACGTTTTTGATGTAAAGAAATATTTGAAGGTCAGCTTGCTTTAAATGTACTTTTATTATAAATGCGAAGGTTTGTATATGTGTATGTATGTTTGTTACTCCTTCACGCAGAAACAACTGTAGGGTTTTAAATGAAAAGTACACAAATAGACTATGATCTGGAGTGACACATAGGCCACTGTTAGGCACCAAGGGACGGGAACGTAAGTCGCTAGATTACCAATATATTTTTAAATGATTTTTTTTTATTATTTAAAGCTTAAATTAACTTCTTAAAAGTTGATTTTAACCGACATTTTTTTACTGATTTCAAAAAAGGAAGAAGAATACCTTGTCATGAAAAAATATACGCGTCTAAAATAATAATAAATATCTAAGTTAATTTTATGCCACTTCAAATGACTTCCGGCAATACATTAATTTGGTATCATCAAGATGCTAAGACGGTGAGCATTTTTTTTCAACACCCTTTTATTTGTTTCATAATAAAATAATTATGTATAAATCATAAAATTTAAATTATACTAGCGGATCACTCTCGCATCGCGCTGGTTCGTCCCTAAGTAAGTTTCGCGGTTAGTATGGAATATATGTATATTATACCTATTACTTTTCCGCTCCCTTGGGTGCTTGATGGACGATTAACCTTCTTCAATAAACGAGCTATCTAATAAGAAAAAAATCAAATTGGATTAGTAGTTACTGAGATTAGCATGTTCAAACAAACAAACTCTGCCGCTTTATAATACTTTTCAATTATATAAGTGTGACGTAATATGTACATTTTAAATGCATATGAAAAATATTAATTGCAATCAATTGATAGTTAATTTATAGTTTTTGTTTTAGTCACAATTATTGGTCAAACTAATTGAAATCGTCTTGATAAATATAAAACTAGATTTCCCATATTTGCTTTTATTACGTCTACACTGAAAATATAAACAAAAAAAAACGATATAAATGCTAATAATTATATTCCAGCCAACGCAAGGTAAACAAAAAATGAATATAAATTAATTTTAATATTTAAAATTATATTTATTAATTTGTGATGTATAATTAACTATACCCTGTGTCAGCTGGTACACATATTTACCTATAAATATATGATTTTATATACGAGTATACCTATATTAAACAGGAATTGAATTAAGTTTGACACTTAAATAATTTGATACAATCGCGATGATCTGAAAATGAAGCCGAAGATAGTTACGCTATTACTTACTATTAAATAAAATCCTTGATTTAGTATTAGCAAATTTCTCTGATCCAATTTCAGTAATTAGGTCGGAAGAGATATTATCTAAGGTAGATAAGTATCATCCTCAACTACTTATACAAATTAGAATTAGCTCTCTTAAGTTGTTATCATCAACAGTGAGTTCAAGATATAAATATTTTAAGGCTGATTATCAAAAAATTGAAGCATATCTGGTCAATGTTGATTGGGAGATTGAATTTACAAAATGTGAGACAGTGGACCAACAACTTCATAAATTCTATGAAATTATGTATAAAGTTATAAAAGAATTTGTCCAAATTCAACAAAATTTTAAAAGAAAATATCCTATCTGGTTCAGTTTTTCTTTGATTAAAATTCTAAAGGAAAAAGAGAAACTTAGAATAAAAGCCAAAGTATTTAATAATGATCTTGATAGATATAAATACGAACTATTAAAAGAAAGAACCAAGAAAAAGATGAATACAGATTATTCTGCTTATATTGAGAATGTGCAATTTAATATATGTTAAAATATTAAAAATTTCTGGTTTTATGTTAAAAATAAATATCGAAATAATGGCAGTATACCACAAAAAATGAAGTTAGAAAGTCAAACTGCTGAGGATGGGGTGTCTATAGCGAATTTATTTGCAGACAACTTTGCTGCTGTCTATAATCCTTCATCTTTTAAAAACTTAGAAAATTTAACTCAAATGCAAAATAATAATCATAATTGTTTAGGTTCTATTCAATTATCTGAAAAGTCTATTGAAACATCACTCAAAAAACTAAATGTAAATAAAGGTGCAGGGGAGGACGATATTCATCCAGTATTTTTTAAAAGGTGTGCTACAATTCTATGTAAGCCTTTATATATTATTTATAATAAATCTCTTCAAGACGGTGATTTTCCTAGAATTTGGAAAAAAGCAAAAGTAATACCAATACCAAAATCAGGTGATAAATCAAATGTAAAAAACTATCGTCCTATAAGTATACTTTGTGTTCTTGGTAAAGTATTCGAATCGCTATTATGTCCAATTTTGACATGGCATGTGAAGCAGATGATTACTGCACATCAACATGGATTTTTTCAAAATCGTTCCACTATAACTAACTTAGCTGTTTTTATGGAAAACACAATTGAAGCTGTTAGCTCAGGTAAAGAGGTCGATGTTGTCTATTGTAACTTTAAAAAAGCTTTCGACAAAGTAGATCACAATATACTTATTAAAAAGCTCCATGAACATTTTGGAATCTTTGGGTCACTCTTACAATGGTTTCAATCATATTTGAATGGAAGAACTATGACAGTGAATGTAAACGGACATAAATCATATGAATTCACTCCAACCTATCCATCCATCAGGTGTACCCCAAGGATCTCATTTGGGACCAATACTATTTTTAACTTATGTTGACGATATCAAACATTATATTCTCAACTCTAATTTTGAATTTTATGCTGACGACTTAAAGCTATATAAAATTGTTGACTCTGAAATTAGTATGCAAGAACTTCAAGATGATATAGGAAGGTTATGTACCTGGTGCAAGGGTAATTTAATGGGACTGAATCCAGAAAAGTGCTTTCATATGAAGTTTTCAAGAAAAAAAGTTATTTTTAATACGACATATGATATCAATGGGTAAAGTGACAGAAATACAAGATCTTGGTATAATTATAGATAAAGAATTGCGTTTCATCAGTCACATTAATAGTGTAATAAGCAAAAGCCTAAGAATGCTAGGTTTTATTTATCGTAATACCAAAAAATTCAAATCAATACGTGCACTAAAAATTTTGTATTTTTGCCTTCTCCGCAGCAATATTGATTACTGTAGTCTGATTTGGTACCCTGATTATCAGAATAGCATTCAACGAATAGAAAAAATACAAAAAAAGTTTTTAAAAAGACTTGTTTATACCAGTCGCCACAATTTTATAGATACTAGATACGAAGAAAAACTTGAACACTTTAACTTGAAAACTTTACGCCAAAGATGCGACTTTTTGCGACTCATGTTTGTTTTTAAATTAGTAAATAATTACATAGAATGTCCGTCACTACTATCGCTAGTAAATATACAAACACCAAGATCTGCAGCAAGAGCTATTAACTATAAACCACTACATATCCCACAACGAAAAAATAGATACGGTTCTAATTCACCACTCTTACGAAGCTTTAAATTATATAATTTTATATTTCAGCAATGTGATATACATATTTTTTCTGATAGTTTAAATTTATTCAAAAAGAAAGTGTATTTAGATATTTAGATTAGTTTTTTTTCTTCTTTTGTTTATTGTACACATAAAATTTTAATGGAATAATTCTATAAAAAGATGTGCATACTTTTAAATTAAATTTATATACAAATAGGTAAAATTATAATGTTGAATAAATGTTTTTATGTAAATTTAGTTAGTAAGCCTTTATAATAAATAAATAAATAAATGGCTACTAGTTATTTGATTCATTTTGTCGAGTCCCTTAATTTACTCAATTTACAGTTGGTCAAAAGCGTCTTTTAACATTTTTAAAGCTAAAATATTTTGTTCTAAGGCAGGTGAAAATGATTTGACTTTAAACTTCGTATCACCTACACAATATGCCAAAACTCGCTCCGAGAACTACTTTACAGCACCCCGTTGTGTCCCTGATGTATATAACGGAGAATGTCACGCCAATCAGATAAGGAAGATGCAAGCTTCCTTCAGCTGGGACTGGGGTCCAGCGTTCCCATCTGTTGGAATCTGGTAGGTTGAAGATAAACATATAATAAACATCGGCACCTTCATCATTTTTTGTGTCCATATTTTTATGTTATTTCAAATTTGTGTGAATTTAATTAAGGCCAATTATTTTATTTGATGAAAATAAATATTTGAGGTCGACAGTTTAATCTATGGTAGGTACATATTTGGTTCAATAATAATTAATTGTGTCGATCTTATATAAGAGTAGATAAAACTTAAACGGACATCCAATAAGGGCTTTAAATTGTTGATAGGTAATGCAATTCAATTCTTTTGATAATCAAAGCGTGCCAGTTAAAAACAGATTACTTCGCCAATGTCATGTAGAATGTGGAAGACAATGTTCATAATAAAATCAATTTGTAACTTTTTAACGGATATTTTTTATTATTAGTAATGCTGTAAATGCATAAATAGAGTACACATTAGATAATGTATTAGTATTACACAGTAGAATTTTAGTTTATTATTATCATTTTTTTAAGTTTTTTTGTGTAAATGTGTGATAAATAAAATAATACCTATACAAAAACAAAAAATTTACTGCGTAAAATATGAGGTACAAAAAATTATTATAACGATAACAGTTTTAACATACATTTTCTTTTAGTTATTATTTTTTTAAAGATTTTTTGTGTATTTGACTTGATAAATGGAAAAATACTTATATATTAAAAAAATAGCCCGGCGTACTGCTTTTTATATATTTTTTATGTATAATTCATCAAAATCGGTTTAGCCGCTTAAGAGTTACAAGGGAACATAAGATCGGGTACATACAGGTCAAACACATACCTACCTTTGGCTTTTTTGGGTTTCGCTGTCTGGTAAAAATAACAATACATATACCTACTTATTAACTTTAAAAATGCACAACATAAGGATCGTATTAAACATATAAAAATTGGTATGATTTATTAGGAGATCAGCAAGCGTAGAATATTTTGATGGTGCTGTGGTAAGATCCATCACTGTCCATACGAGGAAAGAAGATAAGTTCTGGAGCTTAAAAGTTAAAGTGTATTTGGAAACAGGTGATCATGTAAAACACATATATGGATCATTATCTCTATATTTGGCAGTCGAAGGACATCAGAGCTTTAAAATTAAGAAGAATATAAACACGACAATAAGTGACGGCACATATGAATCAGATCTGGAATTGAATGTCAGTGAGGTGAGTACTGAGTGATATGGCCAATTTAAAAAAATGTCTTATCTAATATTTTGTACTGTACTTTAGCGTGTTGATTAATGTACATATCTATAGTAACTATCGGTCCGGTAGTGCTGGTACATAGATTGTTTTTGCAAAATGATTATAATAATTATAAGTAATGTACCTTTGTACTTTTCTAGCTAAAGGTACCCTCTTTCTATTGGTAAAAACCCTACAGTACTTCCTAAGATTAGCTCGAACAAACAAAAACTTAAAATTCAACTTTAATTTATATTATGTAGCAATAATTTTTTTGAATGTCAACATAAAAGAATATTTTTGTTGTAGAATTTAATACGTGAATGGTGGCCAAATGGTTACGGCACTCAACAATTATACAATCTTGTAGTCATGTTTACTTGTAATGAAAGAAATCATACGGTATCTTACAAGCATGTGATGATAGGTTTCCGTACCATAGAGATAATAGAACAAGATGCTTCGTTGATTTTTGGTTTGTATTTTTTAAGTTTTATACGTGACATGGTTAATGCTGTACCTTTACATTTAAATTTCCAATTAGATGCACTCGGAAGTCCAATTCTTGCTAAGATTTGGACTTCCGAGTGCATCTATACCTCATCTAGTAGGTAAAATAATATATTTGGAACACTATTGCATAAAATATTTGTCTTATAATATAATACTGTCGATTAATTATAGGTTACTGGTAGTGGTGTTTTACAGCAGCTTTAAATACCATTGAAACACTATCATATCTTACTTAATTTATGTATTTCACTGATTATAATAAGGCCCTGTAATAGCTCCATCAATCGATCACTCGATATGTATATATAGCCAAAAACCAATTATCATTGAATAATCGCGAAAATAATAACAAGTGTATGATGAAAAAAAAAATTTTATTTATAGAAAATAACACAATTGCTGGAAAAGGCTCGACATTTTATTTTAAAGTAAATGGATATCCTCTTTTCATGAAAGGATCTAATTGGATCCCTTCAAATATACTTCCTGAAAAGGCTCAAGAAAAACACGAAAGTGAGTTCTATATTATATAGCTATATTTATAATTTTAATTCTTCCAAGCACATTTTACAACTTGGAATTAAAACAAATGAGAGGCTTTTAAAAATTAATTTGTAAATGTTACAGTTGACAATTTGTTGAATGCCGCTCGCGATGCACATATGACTATGCTTCGGGTTTGGGGAGGGGGAATATATGAGTCTGATTATTTTTATCGCCGCTGCGATGAACTTGGTATTTTGATTTGGCAAGATTTCCTTTTTGCGTGTTCTATGTATCCAGCTGATCCTGAATTTATTCAGTAAGTAATAAATGAAAATTAGTTTTCAACTTTCGTTCATTCGTATATTGATAATATTGTTTCTAGAAATGTAGAGGAAGAAATAGAGCAGAATGTGATTCGTCTTCAGCATCATCCTTCAATAGCAGTTTGGGCGGGCAACAATGAAAATGAAGTTGCACTACGTGGCAACTGGTATGGCACTAAAGAACAATTTGATAAATATAAACAGGAATACATAAAACTTTATGTGGATACTATAAAACCTATAGTCGAAACTATCGACCCTGAGCGACGTTACTTAGTTTCAAGTCCTTCAAATGGTAGAAAGTCTGAAGAAGATGGATATATTGCCCAAAATCCCTATGACCCTCACTATGGGGACACTCACTACTATAATTACTTAGCAGACAATTGGGACCAAAATATCTATCCTCAAACGAGATTTGCTTCAGAATATGGATTCCAATCTTTGCCTTCTTTAAAAACTATGAGAACAGCATCGAATAAGTCAAGTGATTATAAACTCGACAGTGACTTCTTCAAACACAGACAACACAGTCCTAATGGCTACAATTTTATCGAAACGCAAATTAAAAAACGGATGAAACTTGATAAAGACGATCCTAAATATTTTGAGAAGTTCATATTTTATAGCCAGGTAAGTCTACATATTTATATGGTACATACTTAAATACTTCAAGATATTTGTAGTATTAAAGAGGTGCCAAAATTCTAATTTATTTTAGATATCTCAAGCTATGTCAATGAAAGCTGAAACAGAGTATTATCGACAAAATCAAGCCAATTGGTACACAATGGGTGCTTTGTACTGGCAGCTGAACGATGTGTGGCAAGCGCCATCTTGGTCAGGAATTGGTAAGACCATGATAGATATACTTCAGTTTTTGTTTTCTAATCTCATACTTTAATGTATAGCAAATATTTAATATTATTACAGAATATGGTGGCAAATGGAAAATGCTTCACTATTTTGCAAAGTCCTTTTTTGCACCTGTTCTGATTTCTCCAAGACTTACGATGCTAGGCGATGTCGATGTTTATATAATCAATGACAGATTTGTGCCAATAGTTGACGCCGAAATTATAGTAGACATTTTTAATTGGAGTAGCTTAGTACCTTTTAATTCACAACGGTATTCAGCTAATGTTGATCCATTGAGTAGTGAAAAGCAAACAACTCTAATTTTATGGAATACAGATAATAAGGATAAAGTGTTCGTAAGGCTTAAATTGGAAGTCGAAGGCGCTATCTCTCCACCGAATTATGTATTCCCTGTACCATTAAAGTCGATAAATAACCTGAAAGAACCAAAAATAAAAGTAAGTACCTATACTTACGTAATAAATAGTTATTAATTTTATATTATACACTTTTTTGCAATTTTTTGCACAAATTATAACGACCTGCTGTTAAGTTATGATTTTCCGTATCCCTTAAATTATTAATCTATTTATTTCGAGTTTTCATTATGGTTTTACCATCAATTATGCTCTAAATATAAATAACGAAAATTATTCATTGCAAATATTGCGTAGATATGATTATATATCAGAATATCAATATATTAATATTTACTATTTCTAAGTAGATACATCATACATTTAATTTTTGAACACAGATACACATCGTAAGAGCAATTCAAGAAATCTCCGAAGGCCTTATTAAGTTTGAGATAAATATAAATGTCGACACGATAGTCCTTTTCTTATGGTTGGAAACCGATACATTAGATGGATACTTTGACAATAATGGGTTCATCGTCACAGAACCTATAATCAACGTTGGTTTTTTTACCAAAAGCAGAATAACCTCAGAAGAATTAAAGAAAGCAATAACCTATAAATATTACCTTAACTAATAAAATATATCTTTCACGATTACCTTTTGCTAATACAATATTGTTATTTAATCTCTAAAATATTGATAGAATTATTATTAAAGTTTATTATTTTTATATATGTATATAATCCTTTTGTACGTGTGTATGTCATTCAACTTCTGCTAAGCGGCTGGACTAATTTCGATGAAATTTCGTGTGCGTGTTTGAGTAAGTCTCTGAATGTTTAAAATTTACAATTGGGTCCAGTTGGTTGCACTGCAATTTGCAATTTGCAAAGGTTGAAGGATTTGAGATCGTCCATGGACAAACACACAAAAAATTTCATTAAAATAAATCCAGCCGTTTATTTATGTCCTGCAATATTATATATTTATATGCCCGTATATTCATATCCTAGATAATAGAAGAAGCAAATAGGTTGTATAATAAAGAACCATGTATAAAGCAAAGGAATTACGTTTATTACCGCTTATATTGAGTATGCGTGCTCGAAACTAACTTATTTGCAGTATATCGCGTATAAATTAATTTTTGGACGATATTTCTTGAATTGGGTAAGGGTAAGGGTAAGGGTTTGTCCTTTTGAATATAAAATACAGTTGTAAGTATGTATAAGTAAGTTGAGACATTAATACACAGCACCATCTAGTTTCATGGGAAGCTACGAGGCTTGTGTTATGGACACCAGATAGTTAATAAACTACACTTTAAATATATATATATATATATATATATATATATATATATATATATATATATATATATATATATTATAAATATAAACACCCATGACTAGAGTACATACATTTGTGCTCATTAAACAAATGAATGCCCCCAGCGGGACTCGAAACCGCGACCGCTGGCACAGCAAGTAGGGTCACTACAAACTGAGCCAAATGGGTCGTCAGTCGTGTTGTAGATACGACAAATTGCAGATTGTTACCAATAAATTTAAAAATTGAGGTATTTTTGAAATGTTTTTTTTTTAGTTGTTAAAAAGAAAAACATCCTTAATACGAGTAATCTTAAATAATAAGGTTTTAATTTTTTATTACAATTAGAGCATGGCCTTACTATTATTATAGATGCGTGTTTCAGTTTATGGTTGTGTTTTGTTCATTTTCATTTTTCATACATTACGAGAACATCAGTTTTTTTACCAACAAATAAAAAACGTATAAATATCTGCAATTCGCTAAAACTATATTTTGAATAATAGCTGCTAATAAATATTTATACAAGATTTTGCTTAGTTATCCTTTAAAGTGAAGAGGTTTAATAGAAGATATCATTAATTACAGACGGCCATTATTACTTTTGACTTAGCATATTCCCTCATAACGACTGCGGACACGCCAGCGTTACAATAGATTTCTTAGAAATTTAATTAATTTCTTAGAAATTTACCTGGATCTGGTTTACAATATGCGTTTCACTTGAATACAAAAATAATATTATTATATGGAGAAAAATGGGCACGATTAATGAGTTTAAATAAATAAAACATACGTTTAACACGTTTAAAATTGTTTAAATTAATAAAAGGAGGGCCCTTACCAATATTACTTAGGCGCCATAAGTAATTTTTTATCTGTGTATACAAAGTTGCTTTTTAAAATTGACAATTCACAAAAAGAGAAATATGACAAATGCTGCCAGAAATAAATAACATAGATAAAGATCTTCTTATGAATGTAAATTTAAAAAAAATTGTATAATAAAAATGTATAATATAAAAAAATGTGGAGTAAGATAAAGAAATAAAAAAAACTACGTTTAAAAAAAAAACCGACTTCAAAAACTAAAATGTAATAATATGTGTATGTAATAGTATAATGTAAATGTAATAGTAGGTACTAGGTACCTACTACAATACTAACAACATATAGGTATATTATATTGAAATCCAGAACATGCCCAGCAGTGGGACGTTAAAAAGGGCTAAATACAATACACAACGAATTGCACAAATATTTGTCATAATGTTCACATAGAATGTACAATTACTGGTATAATTTATTGGCAGTACCTAAATAATAAAATGCGATTTTAAAATGATATTTTCCTCTTATAATTTTTAGACAAAAATAAAAGCGTTGTTTCATATTTCTTGCTTTGATTTTTGAAAGGTGTACGAGATGATTTCCCTAAGGGAGAATGCTTGTAATTTCAATAACGTTTAATTTAAAATAGATGTAAAAGCAGCTTATGATAGCAAATTTATCGATCTACCGGTTTTCAAAATCAAAACAAACAATAAAAAAAGTTTTCATTGTTATATTTCATTATTTTTAAATCTTTGCAAAAGCATCATCTTGGACACCCCGGTATCCAAGATGATCCTTAGGGTGTGGACAAGACGATCCTAGGAATCGTCTTGCCCCTATTTTGGGAATTTTATGGGTTTTGGTAAAAAAATTGAAAAAAAAAACAACTTATTCAAATTACAAATGTGTTTATTTATGTAATCTTAGATATTACCGAACTTTGAGGTCAAAATAATCTTATATAAACTTAAATCTTAAAAAGCTTAAATGAAACTAAGCAAGTATTTTAATAATAAATCAGTCTCTAAATTACGGATAACAATCATCACAGCGTAAAATCGATAGTATTAAGCATTTTTAACAAATTACTTAATAAATCTCTCCATAATCAACATCAAACTATAAAATCTTTTAAAAATTAGTACTTAGGAAAAAATTAAGTTAAAAGTTCTTCATATTAACATTAAGCTCAAAAACTTTTTAGCTTAGTAGGTTAGTTTAGTTAAAATTCTAAACGCGTTTTTCCTAGTGTAAATTCATCAGGATCATCACTATCTATCCCTGCACAAGATGATCCCATTTTTGACATTCACAACATTTTATCCATAATTTACCCATTCAGTATCTTCTTCTTCTTCAGATGACTCAGACTCGAGGATATAAGAAGTTTTCTTCCTCTTATTGGATACTTCTTTACCTTTTCTTCCTTTACGTTTTACAGCATCCAGTGCTTTAATCATAGAGTCTCAACCACCCGCCACAATTCGTTTTTCTTCTATAATTACGCGGCATATTCTAAAACAATAAAAAATACTTCTGTGTAATAGATAAGTAAAAGTCAGTAAAATAAGCAATGTGTTAGGTGCAAGATGATCCGCACGGATCATCACGTACACCAACAACCTAATCATCTTGCCCCATCCACCATTTTTTATCCTTTATTCGAATATAACCGAAATGCTTTCTATTTGAATTATCATGCCATTATAAAAACAAAATAGAACACTTTTGACATCTACTAATGCAAAAAATATTGCATTTGACGGTCTAGAATAAAAGTAACGTAGATTTAAAATCAATCTTACCTTAGATCTACGTCACACAATTTTTGTTTTATGTCGTCAAACTTTACTCGTCAATCACGCCGCCATTACGAATTGACTGATGAGAAGGGCCATCGGGAGCTATGTTTTACCAAAGGAAACATCTAGGTGGCATTAGTAGTTTCTGTGTAATTTAAAAGGATCATCTTACCTCAACGGATCATCTCGTACACCTTTCCCCTATATTTGTTATATTTTATATTCAACATACTTAATTTGTAGTAAGTTAATTATAATTTTTAAAATATTATGCTATTCGCCGATTGAATAGTGGAATGAAAAGTATCTGAAATGTTGACCGGAGATATAAGGTAGCACCATGCAAAATTTCATTTAAATCGATCCAACAGTTTCGGATATTAGCCCGTACAAGCAGACAAACAGATAAACAGACAGAGAAACAAAAAAAATGAAAAAAAAAAATCTGGACTTGTTCTATTTCTCTTCTTACATTCCTCTGAATCAGTTTTCAATATTTTTTTCTATGTACAGACATTCGAACTCTACAGTTTTATTATATGTATAGATACGATATATTCTCTTCCATATTAACATTTAAAACGTACCTAGGGATAAAACTTACTGACCGGAGCGAGCATATATATGTATACATATAATGAACAAACGCAGCTTTAACACCTCCAGGTAAATTTCTAAGAAATTAATTGTTAACTGTAATGCCGGCGAGTCCGCGGTCGTTGAGGGATTAAAGTAATAAATCTAAATAATTTTATAAATGTATGCGCATTTTATATAAGTAGATGCACATCTTATCTAGATGCGCATTAATTACCGTAAATAATAACGACGATTAAATACACAAACCCCTCTCGCCAAAGGGTCGACGTAACGGAAAGGCACAGTGTGCTTCGTATCTCAGGAACGTAGAGACATAGCGCTTAAACGACATAAAACCCATATCGGCCCGCAGTGCATCGAGGTAAGTGATAGACTACACAAACATATGCACATATTGATGCATAATTTATTAATATATATACATACTAGCAATCTCTTCTCGCTTCGCTCGGGTTCGTCCCTAGGTGTCTTTTGTATTAACACAGGTAAAGCCATCTTTTGGCAAATTTCATCCAAATCAGTCCAGCCGTTTCATCGGAGTAACAAACATATTTACATGCACAGCATATATATGTTTCGCTCTAACCTTTCGCTCTAATCTAACGTTTTCTAAGTTTCTTGTCCCGCGGCGCGCAGATTATCGTGTGCATGCGCGGTCTGACCTTACGATGCGACACCTCACACCACAACATGTTGTGAGTTCCAATAAAAATATGTGCCGAAAACCTTTATGTAAAAAACTTTGTGTCTAAAATTTAAACAAACGTTGAAGCATTTTCGGTTTAAACAAATGAACATATTTTTTTTATTCATTCGCAGTTTTTTCTTCAATACCTCAATAATGTTATATAGAAATTAAATAGAATTAAAAAAGTTTCTTTCAATTAAAATAGTAGTTGTCGTCAGATATCAGTTGTATGAAAACGCCATAAATAGACCATTAAATGCTTTATATTGCACAACTTTATTATAAACTAGCGACTCCCTTCGTTCGTCCCTACTTACGTTTTAAAGTTTAGTATAGATTTTCTCAGAAATGAGATATTTTCTACCCGGATAACCGGCTATCAGAATACCAAATTTCATCAAAATTCGTCCAGTGGGTTTTCCGTGATGCGGTAACAGACAGACAGACAAAAATTCTAAAAACTATAGATTCTGCTCTGTATCGATAATAATGTCTATTTCAATAAGATTTTCCAAAAAACATTTAATGTAAAGATTCGGCTTAGTTAGAATTTTATTATGTATAGAAGTAGCAAACTTCGTGTATGATAAGTATTCAACAAAATTTTGTTTTGATTGTGTTATCATATTTATTATTTATCCTACAGGCTTACCCCCGCTTCATTCGAGCTTATGTGTTACTCCAAATCATCCATACTAATAGGTACTATTAATGTGAACGTTTGTGAGGATGGATGGATGTTTGTTACTCTTTCACGTCAGAACGGCTGAACGGATCTGAATAAAATTTGGCACAGAGATAGATTATACTTAGTCTGGATAGCGCATAGTTTACTTTTCCCGTGTTCCCTGGGATAGATTTATTATTTTCTAGAGATGAACCCGAAGCAAAGCGAGGGTGGGTAGCAGGTCGCTAGTATTATGTATTTATATGCCATATTTTATAACCTAAAAGAAAGAAAGAAATAGGTTGTATAGTAAAAAAAAACCATATATAAAGCAAATGAATTACGTTTATTATCGCTTACTCAATAGTATGCGTGCTCGAAGCTAATTTATTTGCAGTATAATGCGTATAAATTAATTTTTGGACGATTTTTCTTGAACTGGTAAGGGCTTGTTCTTTTGAATATATAATACAGTTATAGATACGGCACATTGCAGACAGTAAATTTAATAATTGGATATCAAGAAAAAAATTTTTTTACTCATCATATATAAAATCTTTGGGAAAAAATCAAGGGTTTTTTGAAATGTTTTTTTTTTTTATATTACAATGGGGAAGAATTTTGCCTTTTTCAGTCATTCAGTCAATCAGTCAAGACCACTGCAGGGTGCACCTCTCTTTCTCAATTTTTCTTTCACCTGGTCTATCTTCCAGTTACAATACTGCATTGCATTGCACAAGTAAGATGCGAACATAATAGAAGCAAAAAAGAGGTATAAAGGAGATACCAAGTTAAATTGCTTTACCTCAGACTGATTGTAAATAGGCCATACGTGTGGCGCCCTCCTTTCCAAGAATCTTCCCCATTAGAGCATGGTCTTACTAATATTATAAATACGTGTGTATGGTTGTGTTTTTGTTCATTTTTACGTATTACGATGTGCCGAATCTATATTTTTAATAATAGCTGCTAATAAATATTTAGTATAACATTTTGCTTAGTTAATGCGATTATATTCTTGAAAGTGAAGAGGTTTAATAGAAAATATCATTAATTACAGATGGCCATTATTACTTTTGACTTAGCTTAAATTACAATATACGTTTCACTTGAATACAAAAATAATATTACTATATAAAGAAAAATGGACACGATTAATGAGTTTAAATAAATAAAACAAATATTTAATAAGTTTAAAATAGCTTAAATTAATAAAAGGAGGGCCCTTACCCATATAACTTAGGCGCCATAAGCAATTTTTTATATAGTTTAAAGTTTGTTTTTGCAAAATTGACAATTAACTTAACAAAAAGAGAAATACGACAAATGATGCCAGAAATAAATAATATACAATAGATTGATCTTCTTATAAATTAAAAAAAATTACTGTCACAGGACGCCCGGCAGATGTGAAACATCTATTTTAATATTAGAATTCATAATTAATAAAAATCATTAGCGAAATATGTAGTAAGATAAAGAAAATAATAGTTTCGTTAATAAAATCTATTAAGTTGTTTATCTTACATTTGGTTAGAATGATATAAAAACTATTCCTAATAAAATTCAGTATATATATATATATATATATATATATATATATATAAAACTGTTTTAATCTCAATTGAGTTATCAGCTTAGAATTTTCAGATAACTATTATAAAACTTGTCTAATCTTAGTACAAACAATTCAAGCGACAATGAATCTACAGTTGTATAAATAGCATGTGAGGTACGTATTATTTCGATTAAATTGAATTTTTCAAAATGGAAAGTAGTATTTAATAATAATATTGATACATTTTGTTTAGAAATATAATACATACATAGTATAAGAAAGGTTTACTTTAGCTTAATTAATTTTGTATGAAGCACGGACTATTTCATAGTAGTTTTCTTGTTTTCTTACCCTAATAAATTAACATAGGTACCATTTTTTTTTCTGACAGATAATTTTACGTGGCTTAGTTACCGTAGTGATTTGTACGGCTATAGAATGTTTGTATCAAAGTATGCCTAAACATGCTTTCGACATGCATTTTAATAATAATAATTTGTCATGCGTTTAATTAGCCTCTTTTTGGCTTGATTCTTGGTTACAGGTAAACTATGAGCAATGGATTATTAACTGTACGTTGGAAGCGTTATTATGAAATGATTTCTTATTAATAACAAAATAATCAGATATAACTGGTACGTTTTTAGATATGAGATTTTAAAATGAAAAAGATGGCCAACATAAAAGTTAGCCGCAAAATTGTGACATGAAATTTTACACCTATTTGATGAATGCTTTCCATGTTTAGCCATAAAAGAAAATTCTCTCAAATGATAAAGACACAGCTTTTTTGCCAGAAAAACTCGTCATAAAATAAATATTCTTGATCATTATTCAGCCATTTTTATCATTCTTTCAATCATCCTAACATTTTCAATATTTATAATTTTAAGAACTTATATTCGCTAAAACATTTTAATCTCAACAGAACGTGTATATATATAAAATAAAATATAAAAATATTAATGAAACAAATACGCCCAAAATTACTTTTCTTATTAAGATTTTACCTCCATGTTATAATGTTAGTCCATGCATGTTCACAGATAAGCACCAAGCCTGTAAAGAAATACCTTTTTATATTATATTCCGTGGATATTTTTTTTGGGTAAGGTATACCCAATGTTTATAACTTATTTAAAAAACATAGCGGATGTAAATGCGTTCAAAAATTCTTTTATCCTTAAACTAAGTGTCCATAAAATAAAAAAAAAAGAATTAAAGTACATGCGTGCGCAAAACCCTTATAAAAATAATATCATGCATAGTGTATTACTTGCATACTTACCTTCGTACAGCTGACAATTGAAAGGCAAATGATAATATTCCAAAAATACAATTCAATTCTTGATCATGATTTTTTTTAAATTGAAATTATCAAGACCAAAAAATATACCGGTTCGAAATATTTTATATATAGTGTATAACATTCGAGTAAGTGCATAAGTACATAGGGCGTTAGTGTTAGTCAAACTAGCGTGCTCAAATTAACATTGATATTAGAAACAATACACACCTCACTTTAAAATACATTCCAATAACGACCTAAATAAAAAAAAACTTTAGTGAAACATAGAATTCATAACAGATTACACAAGACAAATAATAACAAGATAAAACTTCAATGGTCACTATATACAATGTTCCATAAGCAATTTTTATCTGTGGAACGAAAGTATTTTGCTCTGTAACCATAAAATTTTGGAAAGAAAGTAAAAACTATAGTTAATTAAAATGATCTATACAAAGAAAAATAATTCAGTTCCACTTATTCAATGATAATTTTATGTTTCATATACAATAAGTTGAAATATAAAAATTAAAAATACAATTAAGCGAGAATAACATTATAAAAAAAAAAAAATAAAGAAGATAAAACTTATATTATGAAAACGTAAATGCTTAAAAATCATACTAATTGTAATTTTATGATTAATTTGTGACTAATGGCGACGTTTTTGTGCTTCAAATAAACTAAGTTAAAAATACATTACTCATATAAATGTTCATCTTTATAATTAACATCTACATTTCAATTCATATTCCAATAAATAAAACTACAAAAAATTCAATGTTGGGAAGTGGCCATTTATATAATACGTCACGTTTTGTTCTTGAGAAAAAGTTTATAAGATCTCATCAAGTTGCTTCATATTTTTCTACAACCTCTCCAAAAAATGCATCTCAGTCATGAAATATAGTAGACTTCCCTGCCTTCTCATAAGTCATTTACTGTCATTAATATGAGCATACTAATTTTATTAACAGTAAATATTTTTCATTTCCATAGCAACATTTTTACTATTAAATGTTTAATCATTATACGATTTTTATTACAAAGAAAATATTAAAAATAATATACAAAAATAAAAAACCCGACTCCGTAAAAAGCGAAGAAAGCTTCCTAAAAAGAAGAGGACAAGTGCACGAAGGAACATAGTATTATGCAGTCGGAGACATACACACACAATTTGAAAAAGAAAAAATTGTAATAAAATTAACATTATTTTAAGTCACAATTTGCTTCGACCCTCCAATTTCACCGCTCTTTATTCCCGGTTTGCTAACGTGTTTTATAAATGGCCCCCAATCGATGAACGCCCTATAACGCTACTATAGAACAATAATGTATTTTTAACAGTTATAGATAGCAGATTTACCTGACACGTGAATGTAAAGCGGCACGTTCTTCAGAGGGAGTGTCTCTGAGGAAGGTGGAAGACAGGTTGAGCACTACCATGAGGCAGCAAAGGAGGAGGGGTCCGAGTATTGCGCCCTCCGGGCCTAAGTAGAAGATACCTCCTGCGATAGCTAGACCAGTAACATATGGATGGCCACCGCTGAAATAAAGTGATTTATTTACCTTGTAAAATTCGACTTTGATAATGAATAAAGATAAAGTGTTTTAATTATAAACATTAAGTGATACTTGAAAAATGTCCGTCTAACATAATATGTATGGTAACCCATACATATGTCATAACGATTTTACTTATATGTATTAACTAGTGTTCGCCCGCCCAGTGGTCGAAATTCGACCATAATCATTATTAAAAATTTGAGGAAGACAAATAGTATACGATCTATATAGAAAAAAACTGTTTCCATTTTTTTATTGATAACACTATAATACGAAAGGCCAACAATAACTACGAAAAAAAAACAAAAAAGAAAACCGATTAATAAACAAAGGAGAAAAAGGTACTGAAATGCTTTGTCTTGGCCTGTTAATATATGTACAAGTAGATATTATGTAAATAGCTATATACATATATAGCTTAAGAGTTAGTATTTTTGTTTGTTATAACGCGCTAATCTCTGGAACTACTACTAAGTAACATTTTACTATCCCATTTGTAAGGGTCCTACTGGGACGTAAAATAAAAGGTGGATTGTATAATCCGCTGGTTTATATTGCCGTTAATAAAAATTAGGTATAAGTATTTCGAGGCGGCCGTTAGCAGTGGGCTCGGTGAGACCAGTTCCCAACACCTCTTAAATATAAATAAACTACACGAGCGGAATCACGGACAAAAAGTAGAGTATGCATTCAACCCTTTTTAACGTCCCACTGCTGGGAGTGGGCCTCCCTTCAATACGAGGGAGATTAGGTCATAGTCCACCACACTGGCCAAGTGCGGGTTGGCGGACATCACATGTCTTTTGAAAACTTGCTAGTTTCTCTCAGACATGCAGGTTTCCTCACAATGTTTTCCTTCACTGTAAGACAAGTGGCAACCATGTTGGAAATGATTCGCACATGAAAATATCAGAGGTGCGAGGCCCGGGATTTGAACCCGCTTGACTCAGTTTCTCGAACGAGCGCGTCACCACTGGTCTATCACTGCCTAAAAGTAGAGTATATAGCTATAATTTGGAGTGTACGTATGTCTTATGTGAATCGCGTGTGAATATAATGCTTTATCATTTCTTTTTTAACTTAACAAATTTCGAAAATCAAAAATATAAGTAAATAAATGATTACACTGATTTGATTCTTCTATCACACTGCTTTTTCTTCACTAGTTTTCAAGATAGCATAGCAGACAAAACACATACCTATTATTTATTTAGTAGGAATATACCTATTAATTAAAATTTTAAAACATTTTAAATAGATTTTTGACCATGATTGCTGTAAAGCATTCGAAACGTCGGGAACCAAAAAACAAAATAAAGCCTCAAAAAAATATGTACGTAAAGATAGTTTTATTTAAAATGTTAAATATTCGTGTAATGATAAGAAGGTATTATAGGAATATATTATCAGCCTCACTCGCATGATGCTGGTTATCTTCTAATATTAAAAGGTTAAATTTAGCATTATTCATACATACATTGTATTTACTTTCAACTAACTGATAAATTGGAAGAGTTGTTTACGAATTGAGCACACATAAATATAATCTATTGTTTAAGTAATTTTAAATTTCATCTTAAAATAATTAATATTTATTAGATATAGGTTTAATATTTTTTTAATGAGTAAATCATAAGAATTTCTTAGATTTTCGCAAATATTTGACATATTAAATAAAAATAGGTATCTATTAGGACTTTCTCACTGATTTATTTTGATTTTCGGGTTCCTGATGTTTCGAAAGCTTTACAGCAATCATGCTCGCGAGAGAGTAATAAAATAATCATAAATTGGTATATAAAAACGTAACGTTCAATGGCTACTATAGCTTAGAAGAAAAAAGTAGATCAGACAGACAGACGACGGATTCTATTAATAGGATTCCGATAGACTTGGCCCTTTAGTTCCGAAACTAAATAATATTATAACTAAAAGTAATACAGTGTTGCAAAATGTTGAAAGGCTTATTTTCTCAGAAGACATAAGGGATCCATCTTATCCACACATGTTCGTTGTTAAGACGTCGACCTTTTTCTTATTAAGTCCAAATTTCTAAGCCTTTCTAACATATGTAAACCACTCACTCCTTTATTTCTGCGTAAACTGCAGCATCCAGGAAGGCAATAGGCGCAGCTTGAGCTATGGGCAGCAAGCAGGCAGCCATAGGCCTGCCCTGTAGCCATACGTCCAGAGCTGCGGGAATTCCCGCTAGATAGGGCCCTAAGAACGGTGCTGCACCTAATACAGCAGCTAAAACTGGAAATGAAAAAAAACATACAGGATTAAATTTTTAAGCGGATGTTGATGATAATATTGTAAACGATGGGTAAGTCCGATGTATAGCAGAGTCTAAAAAAGGATTATGAAAAGCACTAAAAGTGGATTATTGAAATATTTAAAAATTTATTTTTAAAAATTTATTATGATGAGAATCGAACCCGTTCTTTAAGTACATTAGTATTACTGCAACAGCTAGTAGTATTGGTTTTATGTACCTACACCTATATTGTATAGTATATTGTATAGCATTATATGAACGTATTATGTCGGATAACTATTTCGGTTAATCATTTAATGAAATCTACAAAGTTGCTTCATTATACATAGTAAATATTTTTCATTTGTCTCAGTGCTTAAGACTTCTTATACTAATTACATGTTCTTAATTTCGAGTACATTTTATGTCTAGAAAATATTTGTACTTTGTAGTTTTTCTTTTTTTCCGCTAAATTCCATTGTTTAAATTGAGCTTCAAGGTCAACGATCAATGATTCTTGCTGGAATTATAAAATTTGTAATAACGGTGGGATCATTGGAAATAAATAACCATTTACGGAATAATTGTCTGTTTCAGGATCAAGCTCAAGATCAGTATGTCTATCTCAAGATGAGGATCATTTACGAACCTTTGTATTAATTACAGATGTTTATTTATAAATAACTAGCATTGCCCGCGGCTTCACGCGCGTTCAGGTGACAAAAACGAAATTCTTAGGTTTTACATATTAGTATACTCTTACATTCCAATTTTTGTATTTTTTCTCAGAAATGAGGCATTTTTCCGCGGTATAAAGTATCCTATATGTTGACCCGGATAACCAGCTGCCATCATACCAAATTTCATCAAAATCCCTCCAATGGTTTTTCCGTGATGCGGTAACAGACAGACAGACAGACAGACAAAATTCTAAAATCTATAGATTCGGCCTCTGTATCGATAATAATGTATAATGTATATTTCAATAAGATTTTCCAAAAAATATTTAATGTACAGATTCGGCTTAGTTACAATTTTATTATATGTTTAGACATGAACGAATTAGAGACATTCGTTCATGTGTTTAGATTACAGTACATAATATAAAACGCTAAAAATATTTATTATCTATACATATAATAAAACAGTAACTTAGCGAAATTGGTGTGCCTGAACGCAATAAGTACTTAACCGAGTTTAACTTTAAATTTTGTGTAGTGATAATTTATTACTTGGGTCAACATTTAGAATACCTTTTACTACAGGAAAATCTTTCATTCCCATGGAAAAACAATAACTGATTTTATTGAGTAGTTCTTAGAAAACATGTCTAACGCTGGTTTAATCTTAAGAGGATTGTGAAGTGCCGATACGCGGCGAGAGTAGGTATTTTAAAAAATGCTATCTGTTTCATACCGCTTTGCATCCCCCCGGCAGTGAACAACACAAATACAACATACGCAAATTCTCACACACACTATGATAGCAGCAGCCGGTAACGCGCGGGCGCTCACGGGGGGCGGGGGCGGGGGCGGTGCGACTCGGCGCAAGAGCAATTTCAAAGTTTATCTAATATTTATTATTTTAACGGTTTGCGTACAATATACATTCCCTACAATATACATTCCCTACAAGTTACATCGCACCTTTATTCATAAACTGAAATAACTCTAAATTACAATTCTGTGGCGAATATCATTTAAAATTTGACTTGTTTAGATTGATGACTTCAAAAAATCATAAAAAAATAAATAGGTGGTTTAGATCAATTACAAAAATCTCGTTCCAAAAGTTGAAAGTTTTAGAATTTTTTGTTTTTTATGTACTAATAGACCCATCGGAATTCTTTTATTTTTAAAATATTTTTTTATTGAAAACCTGAAGTTTTATGATTTTATAATGTTAGCAGGTATATAAGGAATAGAAATTCATAAAATGACCTGATCATGAATGATGATGATTTACGATTTTTAACAAATCTATGACTAAATTTTATAAAATATATCAACTTTATTTTTTTAAATATATTTTTAACTAATGAATAAACAAGATTAGATTACGAATGAATTTCATTTCTTTCTGTAATTGCCCTAAAATCATTTTTTTCAGGAAAATCAATAAAATTAACTCCAAAAACTAATAAAACATCGATAAATTCGAAAAAATTATAACGAATAGTATGTGTATATATATATACATATAGATATTTATATATATATAATTATACACATACTATTCGTAATAATTTTCATAAAATTATAACGAATATAGAATTAAAAATATAAATTTTACAAAAATAAAAGTATTTTTATTGCTCCTTCTAAACGGTAATAGTCCAGCAATTAGCAAAAGAAAGCGCGTGACCGGTGGAGGGCGAGGGGTGGAGGGGTGTAGGAAGTGGCCCTTACTCATTTAAACTTGGCCAGATATAATGATGATGATGATATAGAAAATATTTTTATTTTTGTATGAAAATGAAAATTTAAGAAATATATTTTTTTCTTGTTACAGAGGTTGTTGCTATGATGTAAATAGTATATTCCCAAAAGGTCTTCAGTAAATTAAAAATGACCCTGTATATATATATATATATATATATATATATACATATTTTCAGTTTTGTATTTTTCCTCAGAAATAAGATATTTTCCCGCGGTAATCCTATAATATGTTGATCCGGATAACCAGCTACCACCATACCAAATTTCATCAAAATCCCTCCAGTGGTTTTTCTGTGACGTGGTAACAGACAGACAGACATACAGACAGACAGACAAAAATTCAAAAAACTATAGATTCGGCCTCTGTATCGATAATAATGTTTATTTCAATAATATTTTCCAAAAAATATTTAATGTACAGATACGGCTTAGTTACAATCTATACATACGAGTATAATAAAATTCTAAACTTTGGATTGAATCCTTTCAGTATCGATCGATATATCGATATTACCTTCTCCTCCCTAGGAGATAATAATATCGATAGCACCTTCAACATCACTACAGTCTACAATATGCCCCTGCCCCCGACCCGTATGGTGCGATAGAGAGAGTTGCAAGTCTTAGACTCAATTACCTACATTTCCTTTTTGAAATATTGTTTCGGGCGATAACGTTTTCACCCCCCTAAACATTAACGAAATGAGACGATTTTGGTCTCATTAGATTCAGTACACCTTAATCTAGGTCTGTACGTTTTCCTTTTTTTGTAATTCAGTTTAGTTTAATTTAAAAAAATAAAAACGCTGGAGGAAGTTTTTAGGTCAAAAATATAGATATTTAGATGCTAATAACTTCTATCGTACGCAATATTTCTAAAAAATAAAAACGTACGGACCTAGATTTTGATTATATCTACAACATTTCCAAAAATTATGAAAATTAGACTATGTTTAAGGGGGGAAAAACGTTATCGCTTTTTGTATGAAAATTTACAGGTTCACAATCCTCTTAAGAGATACATCAAAGTTCAAAACAATGTACTAGAAAAGTCTGCAATAGCATAAGTCTTTCTCCTAAGGTATTTCTATTTAATCATGTCTATTTAAAACGTACCTAGGGACGCACCCGAGCGAAGCGAGTTAAGTCACTAGTAAATAATAATTGTCGATAAGACTCAAAACAAGCGTAATCTTTATCAAGAAAGTAGGTCCATTCAGCTTTCGGGGCAAAAGAGTCAACAAAATATTTAGTGAATGTTTTATTTTGATACAATATGAATAAATTAAGTGTCAGGTTTTTTATTATCGTTCTGTCTCGGAGTACGCAACTGTGCGTATACGTATTTGTAAAAATCCAAGGCCCTCTGTCGGTTATAAGCTGCGGTGTTTCTGCATTGTGTGCCAATACAATGACTTACGTAGTCTTCTTTAGGGGGTGATTTATTCTCCAAAGCTTTATTCCTAGTTCGGTTCGTACTCCTTAAAGTTTCTACGAAATCTTTTGAAGAATCGAACACTACTTTGATTGTAGTTCTATTTGTCATGTTTAAGTGACTATCTTTCAAAAGGTCGTCCTTGTCGATCGCAGTCATGGCGGCCCCCGCGCCTCCGTGTAGAGTATTCGCTTGTCTTATCAAATAAAATGTAGGCGCCGGCTCTGTTACTTCGTCTGTGGTGACTTCATTACTTATATTCTTAGAATGCTTATCGTTGTAAAGCAAACACATGACTTGAGGGTCAAGATTCAAATGGCACATGTGGCTTTCTAGTAATAACTTTATGACTTCGATAGGTAACACACAGGACGATACTAAACAAGTGTTATTATTCGCTAAGTTTAATATCAGATTATTCTGTTCTACGTTTGATTGTGAATTTAGGAATGCAATGTTCCTACATGTGCAATCCATTGTGTTTTCGCTGTAAGTTACTAACGAGGATGCGATTTTACAACTTGTAAAGTCAAAATATAGCGAATAAAGTTCTAGTTTTTTAATTTTATTACGTAAGAAATGCATATGCTTTTTGTTAGTCCGTTTTTTAGAGCATCTAACGTTCGCGAAAGCGTCTGTTTTGAGAGACTCGATAGTGTTATCAGTTATATCGGTGTTTACGGCGTTAGTGATTATTCCATTACCGCTTATTTCCTTAAAAGTATTCCCTATTATATAAAGGTGATCTGCAGTGATATTAACAACATTCGATTTTATATCACCAAAGGCACTGTTTAATATCTTACTTGTAGTACCCTGCACAGTCAAGCTGTTAAACTCTAGGTTTTCAATTTTGCTGTTAGTTATAGCAAATAAACTATTATTATTTGAAATAATTTCAACACCTTGTGTCTGAATATTTGTTATAGTAACATTTTCAAATTCAATACTTTTAATTTTGCTCACGTTGTAAACAGCTTCAGTATCGATAGAATTTATTTTGCTATTTGTAACATGAATCTTCTTGTAATTAGTTGCACCCATACATTTTAGTTCCGTATTTGAGTTGGGTGATTTAAAAAGGTTTCTTGGAAACGATAGTATTTCTGCTACATTTTCTATTCTAACTTCAGGTGGGGTTTGTAACAGGGAAGTGCCTGACAATGATGTAAATTCTAATTTATCACAGTTTTTAATAATGAATTTTTGTAATTGCGAAGTTCTTTGCAAAATTGGGCAATCTAACACTACTTTTAAGTCTTTACAATTCTGAATAGTAAGGCTATGTATATGATCAGTGTAGAAATCCTTTAGGTGAACAATAAATTCCTAGAACAGGAGAAAAAAAATAGTGTTAATTCCTTATTTTGAAACAGCTATTATAAAGATATCGATACTATGTATTTAATACTTACACTGCCTTTAACTGCGGAACAAGAATAAACAATATCGTTCGACGCATTGCTTGTGCAGGACCATTCGGGTGCAATACAGTTTGTAAAATTGATTCTCACTCCACCACCGTAACAAGTAATTACAATGAACGTCAGTAAAAGAAAGCTTCTCTTGCACATTATCACCAAACGATGATGTAATAAAAAACTTATAAATATGGCGTAAAACTGTATATCGTAAAAGACGAGTAATAAAAATGTGACACAAACCACGAATGAGTGTCATCGTAAGATAATAATTTACTAAAATATCAAGAAAAAATATTTATATGTACTTTATCAGTAAGCGGCTAAACTAAATTAGTCGAGTCTCAATGACCCGGACGATATTACATGCTTTTTGGTAAGTACAGGAAATCTCATTAAACAGTTTGTGATTTTAAGATGGTTACCTACATATACACATACATGATTTTATAAGAATTATTGTTTTTAGGATTCTGTACCTCAAACGGTAAAAAGGGAACATTGATGCGTTAATTTGTCTATCTGTCTGTTCCAGCTATTTTCTCTGAATATTCCGAAAACTTCTAAATCATTTATGCACATACATACCAATAAATTATAGGGTTTCTTAGGAGGAAAAAATATTTTTTTAATGGAATGCAGGCACTGGTAGCCCAGTGGTGGTATGGTGGTAGCATGCTTGCTTGGGAAGCCAAATGAAGCGGGTTCAAATGCCGGGCCTCGCACCTCTGATATTTGCATGTGCGAATCATTTTCGACATGATTACCACTTGTCTTACGATGAAGAAAAATATCGTGAGGAATGAAACCTGCATGTCTAAAAGAATCTAGCAAGTTTATACATCTATTCCTTTTACGTGACGTTAAGACGTTAGCGGGACGTTAAGAAGGTCTAAATACAATACACAATGAATTGCACAAATATTTGTCATAATGTTCATATAGAATGTACAATTACTGGTATAATTTACTGGCAGTAAATCTATAAATATAATAAAAGTGTAACTGATCGCTGTCTGTACATGGAAGATATTTAAGAAAAACTATCATTTGGGGTCTTTATTGTCGCAATATAACCCAAAACAATGATTTTTAGAATTTTTGTCTGTATCTCTGTATCTCAGAAACGGCTTAACCGATTTGGGTATGGTTTCTACTAATATATTTTGGTAAATTAAATAAAAAGTAAATTTTGGCAAAACAATACTAAATGTTAAGTGAAGACATTTAGTATTAATTGTTTTGTTTCAATCGGTTCATAAATACCTACTCGTAAAAAAGTTACGTCAATTTAAAGAATCACCTAGGGACGAACCCGAGCGGAGCCAGGGTGAGTCGCTAGTAATAAAATATGAATTTAAAATGATATTTTCCTTTTATAATTTATATATAAAAATAAAAGCGTTGTTTTATATTCTTTGCTTTGTTTTTTGCGTTTTTTGCACAATAAGTATTTTAGCTTTGAATTATATAATCAAAGAATAAAAAACTAAATAATTATTCGAGAAATAAATGTACATAATATAAAGAAATAAAAATGTTTAATACTATGCAGATAAAATGCTTCAATTTATTGTAATGTTTATGTATTATATTACCGCTATCAGGAACTCTACAAGGGACGTCTCGGTCTGACAGTAGCCGTCTAAATATAGGAACACTAGCAGGACCCGCGGCATCGCTCGCGCTAAAACTACAAAAAAATCTCTAAAAAGGTAGGTTTCATACAAACTTTCATGACCTATTTTACCCCCTTATGGGATAAATTTTGAAAAATGCTAAAACGCGTATTTATTTAATCGTATTAAAGAACATTAATACCAAGTTTCAAGTAATATATAAATCATCAAAAAATATTTTTGGGTTGTAGTATAACGTGTTTTCCCGTGGGAATGAGAATATCTCCCGCGGTACTCTATGTCATTCTCCAGCCCTCCAACTATCTCCACCCCAAAAATTACGCCAATTCATCATTCCGTTTCGACGTAAAAGAAGGACAAACATACAAATACACTTTTACATTTATAATATTAGTATAGATTTATATGATACGAGCATAAGCTCCTAATGATTCTTATATAATGCAAATGAAAAGATCAAATGAATATTGAAGCTCACGTGGATTTTATTATTTTCATTTTTTTTATCTATTCAAAAAAATTGAGGAACAAAATTCACGTACAGGTATGGTACACGATATCTTCGCCAAGCGTGAGTAGATTTTTCTATTTTTATTGAATACGTTATACCTTAAGGGTGACCCCATACTTTCTATCCACTACCAAAATCGAAATAATTACTTAAATTGAAGTAATTTACAAAAAAACATAATATACAGACGATTGTCGTGTCAGATTTATTTGTTATAAGCATTATCTATTGGCGATTTATTTAATTTGTTTAAGCATAACGTTCAAGGTTCATACTTATTAGAATGTTACTATTAAGATTATAAGGTATAGTCCTACGTTACATATTTTTTTAAAAAAATGCAGACACTCAAAAGGAGTGGCAAAGATTTCTTCTATTTACCACGTACATTAATAAGGATGAACTCTAGTAAACTAAAACAAAGGTTGATGAACATGACATGTTATGCTTTACATTTGGACCCAGTTATGCAAAAAACAGCCATGTGCGTAAAAGTACCAACAGAGTTATAAGCATTTTTCTGTTGATAGTTGCACTTGGGTTATGTTTTATTTTTCTGGTTATTTTAAAATTGAACAATATTTATATAAGTATTGTTTATTTTTTATAATTATTTTATTTTTTATAATAAAATGCTTATAACTCTGTTGGTACTTTTACGCACATGGCTGTTTTTTGCATAACTGGGTCCATTTAACTGAGTTTTAACAACAACTATTCCTTAAATATGATCTTAGATTTATTTGGAAAAATATACAATACATAGATTGAGTGTTCAGAATATACTTTAAATTTCTGTAATTAAAATTTATATTACACAAAACAATTATAATAGTTAACGATAAAATAAATACTTCACATTATCAATACTGTTCCGGATGGTTTATTCAGTAATTTATACAGCGCTCTTAGCCCAGTTATCAAAAGGAGAACTCTGATACTTACAAAGTTAATCTATACATATAATAAAATTGTAACTAATCGCTGTCTGTACATGGAAAATATTTGAGAAAAAAACTATTATTGGGGTCTCTATTAACGCAATAGAAGCAAAACAATGATTTTTAGAATTTTTGTCTGTTTGTCTGTGCGTTTGTGGGCGCTAATCTCAGAAACGGCTTAACTGATTTGGGTGCGGTTTTCACTAATGTATTATGGTAAGATGCATTTAACATTTTGTATTTGTTGTTTTATATCCATTGATTCTTAAATAAAAAAGGTATGTGAATTACTTAGGGACGAACCCGAGTGAAGCGAGGGTGAGTCGCTAGTATTCTTAATATATACATTAAATAACTTATCTGTTTATAAAAAAAATACCGGATAGAAACCGGATAGATAACGACTAACCCTTGCTTCGCTCGGGTTCTAGTGGTCTAAGATCCGGTTGCAAGATGGGTCATCGAGTATTTCATCAAAATCATTTTTTTATATACTAATAAAAGGGACAATATATTTGGCCGGGTTGCCTATTAAAATGTGCCCGCTAGTATTTTTAGTTAAATTAATAATAATTGATTTTTTGAACCAAAATCGATTCACTTGTTATTAAAACTCCACACAGAAATATACGCAGAGAACTAGAAAAGTGATAGCTGCCGTTGCGCACTTGGTCGGAACCTCTTCGCAGCCAGGTGTAAGCAGGTCATATTTTGTTACATTTATACGTTTATGGCGTATATTAATTATACATCAAATTAAAGCTATTTTTTTTCTGTGTATGCTCTGCCTATGTAAAACTGGCCGCTTAACAAAAACAAAAAAAAACTATTCTATGTCCTTCCCAGGGTTTCAAACTATCTCCATACCAAATTTCGTCTCAATCAGTTCAGCGAATTAAGAGTGAAAAGGTAACAGACAGACAGAGTTACTTTCGCATTTATATATTAGTATGGATTATTAGAGCCTTTTCCTACCTGCTTTAATGCTGGCAATGTCATGTAACGCCATCTCGTAAATTGTGGTACTTACATTGTCGCTAATGGATGATAACCTACTGAACGAGCGCATACGCCCAGCGAAGCTCAGTCGCCCAGGAACTTATATTTAAAGTTAATTGAAAAATATGTTTTTAAACTATTAATTACTTCACTAAATATATATATTTTAAATATGTACAGTATATCTTACCTGATGGAAGATAGACCACTTTGGCACCGAACAAATTGTGTACCAGCCACGTCCACAGACCATAGAACAACGCCATCTTGAAAGAGGCTCTGAATACCTGAAATGTTTAAATGGTAATAAAATGATTTTACTGTAATAGAGATTCTTCTTTTATAATTTTCAGTTTCTGTGTACACGAAAGGTTTTAGGTTCGACTCCCGCTGGGGAAAAATATGGAACCCACACAGGCATTTATCATTTTCATCATTTAACTAGGATCCCCAAATACAAGGTAACTTAAAGAAGTAGGGAAATTATATTATTTAACCTAGATTAAAAATATGATTATCATTTTTTATAAAAAAAACAAATGTTCCAAACAATTTTTTTCTTACAGGAATATATATTTTAGATTATATTAATAAGTGAAAACACTTGCCTGATTAATAGCCACAGATAAGGCGATACCCAATCTGGGACCAAAGTTCGGTTGAACTCGTGTTATAACCTCCACTGGTTTGTAAAGGGCGTTGCTTGATGCCAACAGGTAGAAGAGGGTTGTGAAGAACACAATCTAGTAGGAAAATGTTACATTAGCACATATATCATATTAACCTTTAGTACCTGGGCGACCGAGCCTTGCTCGGAGTTTTTGGCCAAAAAAACATTAAAAAAAAACAAACTAAGAATTTGAATAAATACAAAAAAAAACAAAATTAAAAACTTTGTGTCCGACCGGGATACGAACCCAGACACCTGTGGTTGTCAAACTTACGCATTGGCCGCTTGACCATGATGCTTATATCTGAGCATGCAAAATTATCGAACATAATATTTTGCGTGAAATTATTAATTATTAATTTATTGAAATAATGCAAAAGAAATCATAATAATAATAAAGCTCTATTTATTTATTCATTTATTTATTATAAAGGCTTACTAACTAAATTTACATAAAAACATTTATTTAACATTATAATTTTACCTATTTGAATTGCAAAATTTAATTTAAAAGTATGCACAGCTTTTTATAAAAGTATTCCATTAAAATTTTATTTGGTTAAGAGTATATAAGGAGCCATTTTAGTTGTACAATAAACAAAAGAAGAAAAAAAAACTAATCTAAATATTTAAATACACTTTCTTTTTAAATAAATTTAACTATCAGAAAAAATGTCTATATCACATTGCTGAAATATAAAATTATATAATTTAGTGACTATTTATTAACTTATAATTTTTTAACTAATAATTTTGTAATCTGGAATTAATACTTTCTTAGATTTACGCGAATGTTTGACATTATTAAATAAAACTATCTTTTCGGATTATTTCGCGGATTTATTTTGATTTTTGGTTCCCGACGTTTCGAATGCTTTACAGCATCCATGGTCACGGGAGAGACTGAGGTGTTACATGTCTTAAAGATATAGTTGTTACAGACAGCCTACCCACAATTAACAAAATGAAAATTGCACCAATTACATTACAATATTTTTAACTTTAAACATTTTTATAATTCTAATTATAATTGAATATGGAAAATTATTTATTTAATTTTTGCTATTATTTTTATAATTATTACAATTTTAAAAATATTAATTAGTAATCTATATTTAGTGTTGCCATTATTATATTTATAACCATAAATAAAAATATAAAAATATAGTATTAATTATTAAAGCCATATAATTGTTCTATGTGTAATTTAAAAAAAAAAGTTAAAATTAATTACGGATAATAATTTTAATTTAGTTTGCTATTATTTAAAAACAACTTACTAAGCAACACTATTAATATATACTTTTACAAATGAAAAATATTAATCTGATAAGCTGTCATTTTGATCTACACAGTATGAACTTACTACATCTGCCTGTCTGTTATGTTTATATTTATTATTTGATTTTATTATATTAATAACAGGATCCCATGACGATGGTAGTACCCAGCCATCTTCCCTATTGAAATTTGGATGTTTTTTAATTTCTATGGCTTCTCGAATCATTCTAGGGCGATATCGGTTTTCTTTCGCCAGGATTTGAGGTCTATCGAAACGAATATAATGGCTTGGGCGGTCCTGGCTATGTTTGCAGACAGCAGATGTTGTATTGCGACGGTGCTTCACATCAGCTATGTGTTCTTTGACCCGGGTTCTAATGGATCGCTTTGTTTGTCCAATGTAAGAGAGCCCACAATCACAATCAAGCTTGTAGACTCCTGCATCTTGTAGAGGGGATGTGGCACTTGACAGGTGGTAAGAACTGACTAATTTTCTTTGGCGGCTTGAAGTAAGTTTTAATTGAAGCTCGCTTTAGAATGTAGCCAATCTTGTCAGTCACTCCTTTCATGTATGGCAAGACTGCAGGGACGCGCTCGACTGTGGCTGGTTTCACTCGGTCACTGTGACGCAGGCGCGGCACTTGCAGCTTGTTGTCACGCAGAACTTGCTTGACATGTTGCAGTTCTCCGGCCAGGTGTTGCTCGTCACAGATCCCGCGCGCTCTCTGAAACAGAGATTTTCCCACGGTAGCTAACTGTGAAGGATGGTGGTGAGATTCACCGTTCAGGTACCTATCAGTATGGGTCTTCTTTCTATACACAGTATGACTCAAGGTGTTATCTGGGTTACGTTTAACTAATACATCTAGGAAAGCTAAGGTTTTGTCCGATTCTAATTCCATTGTAAATTGTATTTTAGGATTTATAGAATTAAGGTGTTCTAAGAATACAGTTATTTTATCAGATGGTAATATTGTAAAAGTGTCATCTACATACCGCTTGTAGAAACGAGGGGTCACGGGTGATGTGTTCAGAGCAGTCTCCTCGAAGTCCTCCATGAAGATGTCGGCTACGACGGGGGAGACTGGCGAACCCATGGCCACTCCATCCACTTGCCTGTAGAATTCACCATTCCACAGTAGATAGCCGGATGTTAGGCAGTGTTTTAAAAGTTCAATGTATTCTATTGACATGTTGTGATCTAGTAGCTTCCTAGATATTATTTCAATACAGTCTTCCACTGGTAGGTTGGTAAATAAAGACTGTACATCGAAACTAACCATTGTTTCATTGTCCATGAGTTTTAGGTGTTTAACTTCATTGACAAAATGGTAAGAGTCCTTTGTGAACGCTCTTGTTAATCCTCTGAGTGGTGAGAGTACTTTTGCTACTAGTTTAGCCAATTTGTAAGTCGGTGAGTCGATTTGACTCACAATTGGACGTAGCGGAGCGTTAGTCTTGTGTATTTTCGGAAGTCCATACAACTTAGGTGGTTTTGCACATGATGGAATAAGATTTTTAACATCAAGATTTAATGTGTCGGAGTGTTCCTTAATTAGCTTTTTAGTATTATTTAAAACGGTGGTAGTTGGATCCGTTTTAACCTTTTTGTACGTGCTCTCGTCCGACAAAAGTTGTTTTATTTTATCATTATAATCTGATGTATCCATCACAACGGTTGCATTTCCTTTGTCTGCGCGTAGAACGGTGATGTCTGACCTATTGCGTAAGTTCTTCAACGCTAAATACTCTTGTTTATTGAGATTTGGTTTGGGCCTAGTACTACGACGTAATAAAGACGAAACATCTTGACGTATGGCCTCCATATCCTCAGTTTTCATAATATTTTGGGCCAGGGCATCTTCAACTGCGCAAATAATGTTTTCATAAGGAATGCGCGTAGGCGTTACAGCAAAATTCAAACCTTTATTTAGTACCCGAATGGTAGGTTCGTCTAACGTTTGTTTTGACAGATTGACAACAGCTTGAGGTCCGCACGAGTATGTATCTGTGGTAGACGGGCGCGTTCCGTTATACTCTATGGTTTTCTTTTTCTTTTTGATGTTTAATTTTTCAACGAGTTTTTGATATTTTAAAATATGTTTAATTTTGCACTGATTATTTAAAATATCAAAAACTCGTTGAAAAATTAAACATCAAAAAGAAAAAGAAAACCATAGAGTATAACGGAACGCGCCCGTCTACCACAGATACATACTCGTGCGGACCTCAAGCTGTTGTCAATCTGTCAAAACAAACGTTAGACGAACCTACCATTCGGGTACTAAATAAAGGTTTGAATTTTGCTGTAACGCCTACGCGCATTCCTTATGAAAACATTATTTGCGCAGTTAAAGATGCCCTGGCCCAAAATATTATGAAAACTGAGGATATGGAGGCCATACGTCAAGATGTTTCGTCTTTATTACGTCGTAGTACTAGGCCCAAACCAAATCTCAATAAACAAGAGTATTTAGCGTTGAAGAACTTACGCAATAGGTCAGACATCACCGTTCTACGCGCAGACAAAGGAAATGCAACCGTTGTGATGGATACATCAGATTATAATGATAAAATAAAACAACTTTTGTCGGACGAGAGCACGTACAAAAAGGTTAAAACGGATCCAACTACCACCGTTTTAAATAATACTAAAAAGCTAATTAAGGAACACTCCGACACATTAAATCTTGATGTTAAAAATCTTATTCCATCATGTGCAAAACCACCTAAGTTGTATGGACTTCCGAAAATACACAAGACTAACGCTCCGCTACGTCCAATTGTGAGTCAAATCGACTCACCGACTTACAAATTGGCTAAACTAGTAGCAAAAGTACTCTCACCACTCAGAGGATTAACAAGAGCGTTCACAAAGGACTCTTACCATTTTGTCAATGAAGTTAAACACCTAAAACTCATGGACAATGAAACAATGGTTAGTTTCGATGTACAGTCTTTATTTACCAACCTACCAGTGGAAGACTGTATTGAAATAATATCTAGGAAGCTACTAGATCACAACATGTCAATAGAATACATTGAACTTTTAAAACACTGCCTAACATCCGGCTATCTACTGTGGAATGGTGAATTCTACAGGCAAGTGGATGGAGTGGCCATGGGTTCGCCAGTCTCCCCCGTCGTAGCCGACATCTTCATGGAGGACTTCGAGGAGACTGCTCTGAACACATCACCCGTGACCCCTCGTTTCTACAAGCGGTATGTAGATGACACTTTTACAATATTACCATCTGATAAAATAACTGTATTCTTAGAACACCTTAATTCTATAAATCCTAAAATACAATTTACAATGGAATTAGAATCGGACAAAACCTTAGCTTTCCTAGATGTATTAGTTAAACGTAACCCAGATAACACCTTGAGTCATACTGTGTATAGAAAGAAGACCCATACTGATAGGTACCTGAACGGTGAATCTCACCACCATCCTTCACAGTTAGCTACCGTGGGAAAATCTCTGTTTCAGAGAGCGCGCGGGATCTGTGACGAGCAACACCTGGCCGGAGAACTGCAACATGTCAAGCAAGTTCTGCGTGACAACAAGCTGCAAGTGCCGCGCCTGCGTCACAGTGACCGAGTGAAACCAGCCACAGTCGAGCGCGTCCCTGCAGTCTTGCCATACATGAAAGGAGTGACTGACAAGATTGGCTACATTCTAAAGCGAGCTTCAATTAAAACTTACTTCAAGCCGCCAAAGAAAATTAGTCAGTTCTTACCACCTGTCAAGTGCCACATCCCTCTACAAGATGCAGGAGTCTACAAGCT